CCCCACAGATGCTGAGTGCTGGGAATGAGATTCTTTCCTTCTGCTCTCAGTGCTCCTGCCAATGTTACTGAGCAAACCCACCTGGGCAGGGCTGAATTTGTGCCTGGAGCAAGATTGGTGGGTTCTGAACAGAGATGTGACCTGGCAGCAACAACCTCTCACTGTTCTCTGCTGCAGGGCCCCAGCAGGCTGAACAGCACAGAGAAAGGGAAGGCAGGTAAAATCCACTTCCCCAGGGAGATATTCCAGTCCCTGGGCAGCCAAACAGTGCGAGTGGTGGTGACAGTCCTCAATATCCAGCAGCTTGGCATGTTCAAGGTACAGGCTGGCACTGCCAGCATCCTTCCCACTGCCTCCAGCCCCTGCCACCCACCAGCTCAGCCCTTGCAGGGTTTCCCCTCCACAGGAAGTCAACCAGACAGGGCAGGTCCTGGACAACACCGTGGTGGGCATCACGGTGGGCGAGAGCAGCATCTCGGGGCTGCAGGAGCCCGTGCAGATCACCTTCCCCCACGGGGAGCTGCCCCAGGTGAGTCAGCCCCGCAGGGCTGCCCTGCCCTCCCCTGCAGTGCCCGTCCCCGGGGCAGGGGCTGATGCTGCCCTCCCCATGCAGGGGCTGCTGCTGCCCTCCCCATGCAGGGGCTGATGCTGCTCTCCCCATGCAGGGGCTGATGCTGCTCTCCCCATTCAGGGGCTGCTGCTGCTCTCCCCATGCAGGGGCTGGTGCTGCTCTCCCCATTCAGGGGCTGATGCTGCTCTCCCCATGCAGGGGCTGGTGCTGCTCTCCCCATGCAGGGGCTGATGCTGCTCTCCCCATGCAGGGGCTGATGCTGCTCTCCCCATTCAGGGGCTGATGCTGCTCTCCCCATGCAGGGGCTGGTGCTGCCCTCCCCATTCAGGGGCTGGTGCTGCTCTCCCCATGACAAGGCTGACGCTGCTCTCCCCCTTGCAGGGTGTCACTCCCCGATGCGTGTTCTGGGATGCCAGCAAAGGTGCGGCTGCTCGGGGCAGGTGTGGGGCGGGGCACAGGCGCTGTCCCAGCGCTCACAGCCGCTCCCGGGCCTCTTGCAGGGCAGGCAGGAGGCTGGCACAGCAGTGGATGTGTCACACAGCCCGGGGACAAGGGGACAGTCTGCTCCTGTGACCATCTCACCTTCTTCACCCTCCTCCTGGTGACGATCCCACTTCCTGCAGCTCCTGCTTGTGCCCTGGCAGTGCTGCCTGCCCACTTTTGTGGCCCCTTGGGTGTCATGAGTAGCCACACAGGGACAATTATAGATATGCCCAGGCAAGGCAAGGTCCCAAACCTGAGCCCAGCCCCAGCTCAGGAGGGCAGCAGCAGATCAGCTGGGCAGGGCAGGCTGGAAAAGGCCCCAGCTTGGTTCAGGCTCTGGCAGAACAAGGCTTGAGGTCACAGATCCTGGTGGAGACTCCCAGGAGGGTGCTCACAGTGGTCCATTTCACCCACAGAGCATCTCCTCTGAGCCACCACTGTCCTGCTTCCCCTGAAGATCTTCTGGGGGCTGGTATGGGGTCCCTGCAGCAGCCCACTGGGGCTACCAGCCCCATGGCTCTGGTACCTGCAGTCAGGTTTCCTAGGCTGGTGCAGGGCCTATCTAACCCAACATGTGCATGTTTGGCAGAACCCAGCTCTGGATGGCTCCACAGCAAGAGCTCTGCTGGTTGTTGCCACCGCTGGCTGTGGGGTAGCCATGGCTTTCTCCATCTTCACCGTGGCCTTCTGCATCTTCATCAGGTGGGATGAGCCAGCAGCTCCATGGGGGCTTGTCAGGCTGGGAGAGGCGTGAGGCAGTGCCAGTGCCTCTCCTGGACCTGCTGTGCCACAGCCCAGGGCCCTGCTCAGCTGTGACCCTGCCCTTCCTGCTCCCTGTGGGGACACAGGTGCAGGTTCAGGCTGGAGGAGACCGTCCGCACCAACCTGGGGCTGCACCTCAACCTCGTGGGCAGCCTGTTCCTCCTCAACCTGGCCTTCCTGCTCAACACTGGGCTCGCTGGCAGGGCCTCCCCAAGCACCTGCAGGGTCCTGGGGGGGCTCACCCACTACTGCCTGCTCTGCTGCTTCACCTGGACGGCGCTGGAGGGCTGCCAGCTCTACGTCCTCTTTGTCAAGGTCCTCGGCACCTACATCCACCACTACCTGGCAAAGCTGTGCCTGCTTGGCTGGGGTGAGCAGCCTGGGTGAGAGGGGCAGTGGGAGGTTTGGAGTGGGTATTGGGGAAAATGTCTTCACTGAAAGGGTGGTTAGGTACTGGAACAGGGGGCCCTGGGCAGTGGTGGAGTTCCCAACCCTGGAAGTGTTCAAACATGTGTGGATGTGGCACTTGGGGACATGGTTTAGTGGTGAATGTGGCTGAGTTAATGGCTGGACTTGATGATCTTAGAGTTCTTTTCCAACCTAAACAATTCTGTGATTGTGTCTCCCTTCTCCCAGGCTTCCCTGCTCTCGTGGTGGGAGTGGCAGGAGCTCTTGGCAGCTATGGAGAATACAGCATCCAGACCATGGACCACCAGGCCATAGCCCACCTGTGCGTGTGCCTCTGCCCACAGGGCTCAGGGGGCCCTTTGGCACAGGGAGGGGCAGCTCAGTCTTGCCAGGAGTGCAGCAGTCAGGGATTGCACCCATCTGCTTTGGCTTTGGGCCATGCTTCTGCTTCTGCTTCCTTAATTGTGATTGCCACACATCAGCCACCCCCAGCTCTCATGCTGAGCCTCCTCAGTCATGCCTGCAGCCCTCCAGGTCATGGAGGGATGTCCAAGGTCCCCCTGGAGCTTGTCCAGGCTCCCTGCCAGCTGAGCAACACGAGGGCAGTGGATACCAACCCTGTCCCCCTGCTTCACCCTGGCCTTGGAAAATCCCAGCAGGGGAAGGCTCCCATGGGTGCTGCTGAGGTTTGCAGGGCTGCTGGAGGCACCATGGTTGTCTCTTTTCAGGTGCTGGATCACTTCCAAATATCTTCTGGTCCACTACATCACCAACTGTGGCTACTTTGGCCTCATCTTCCTCTTCAACATGGCTGTGTTTGGGGTGGTGACCCACAAGAGCTGCAGCCTGCAGGGCACTGGGGCAGTGCAGGGACACCGTAAGCCCTGGAAGGTGGCTCTGGTGGCAGCAGGGCTCTTCTGCCTGCTGGGAGCCACTTGGGCCCTGGCATTCCTCACCTATGGCATCTCCTCTGCAGCTGTGCTCTACCTCTTCACCATCCTCAACTCTCTGCAAGGTCAGCACTCACTCTGGCCTTGGGTGGGGAAGGTGGAGGAGGCAGAAGCCAGCCTGGCTGTGGGTTGACCAGGGATCCCACGGCACCAGTGTCTTCCCAGCACTGCCATACCCCTCCTTTTGTCAGGGCACACCAAGCAGCAGGTCCCAAGGTCCCAACTACCAGCATGGAGCTGCTCATGGCCCCCAATTACACCCTCTCCACCCGTGGTGGTTTTTCTCTGAGAAAGACATTCCTGCAGAGGACTAGGGACATTATCCACTCCCAGCCAAATGGTTCATGTGAAGGAGGGGGTGAGCTGAGGGAATCCCCTGGAAATGGAAGGAAAGTGTCATTAGCATCCTGGCAAGATGCTTCCCATTGTCTCCTGCTGCTGCTGAGTGTTTGTCTTCCTTTCCTTGCAGGAATCTTCATATTCATCTGGTTGGTTGTCCTCTACTACCCAAAGACAAAGGAGAGCACTGGTTCCCTCTCCTACATCATCAAACATGACAAAACCACCACAGCCTCCCAGGACTAGCTCCTGGCTGGAGCAGCTCCTGGCTGGAGCTCTCTCCCTGCCTGCACCTGCATCCACCGAGAGCCATCCTGGCAGATGCAGCTTCCTCCCAGAGGGAGAGATCAGCTAACAATGCCTCAGTTTACCCTTCAGTGGGCATGATCCACCTCAGCAGGGCTCTTTGCTTTGTCCCTTTCATTCCTGCTGGGCTGCCCTGGGCAAGGAGCTCCACACATGATGCTTCTGCAAAGTCCCTCCAGGCTGCAGCTCCATGGTCTCGAGGTGGCCCTGATGTCATTCCCCAGGGGACAAGGAGGAAGCCCCCAAAGCACCTGCCTTCAGCCATGATAGAGCCATCACCCTGTTTTCTCGAGGTGGCTTTTGGTGCTGAACCAGCCCAGCAGGGAGTTTCCTGCCACTGGAGGGAGAGGGTTGACTTGCTCCAGCCCAGCATGTGGGAGTTTTGCATCTGGGAATCAGCAAAAAGAAGAGGAAATCCATGAGCTTCTTTGCAAAACATCTCCTTGCTCTCTGGCAGAGATCTGCTGTGTGTCCTTCATGCCAAACAGCCTCTGGGGCCAGCAGCAATTCCCTCATGGACATGATGCTCTAGCCAAAATTCACTTACAGCTGCCTTGCAGGGCAACTGCTGTCTTCTCCTGATCTGTGTTTTGGTATTAAATCCCTGCCCGCTGGCTGAGCACTGTGAATTTAGTCTTTAATACCTAAATTATTGTTTGTTATTTGCTTTATATTAGGGATGTATCAATGGGAAAAGTCTTGCTGGCCATTTGCCATGAATGAAAAGAGAAATGTTAAGAATGAGGGGAGAAATCACCATGGATGGGTGCACACACACACACACACACACACACACACAAACACACACACACACGTGTGCATGCACAAAGCAGCCTTTTCTCTGCTAACACTGCCTTTGTGTGGCACAGAAGTATGCAAGGACCAGCTTTGGTACCTAGAGTGAGGTACTTCCATCTCCCCACATGCCAGGATGACTCTGTGGGGGAGAGGGAAGCAGGAGGAAGGGCTCTCCCATCCCTGGGTACATACTCTGGGTTTAGAGACTATGGGTCTGCAGGGGAGAAGGTCCAAGAGATGCAACAGGGAACAGAAACACTGTGATGCACCTCATCCTTCAAGCACTGTTTGCACCCAGCCATTACCCCCTTCCCCAAAACACCCACAGAGACACAGCAAGAGCCTCTCTGCTCCTGTGATGTTTATTGGGAAACAGCTGTTTCCTAACCCATCCTCCGCCCCACGCTGACGGCCACAGCAGCCACAGCGAGCACAGCAAGCACACCCAGCAGGACGAGGGCCCTGGAGAGCCACGGGCTGGGTCCTGCCAAAGAGGGAGAGACTGGGTGTGTATCTGGGTCCCCTGAGCCCTGCTGAGGCATCTCCTGACTGGGGATACTTTCAGGAAGGTCATCTCCTGTGACAGGCAGGAGCCACAGGAGCTGGGGGTACTTTGGGATCCTGAAGGAACTAACAGGACTCAACACCTCAAATGGCCTCCGCCCACCCCTGCTGCCTACAGCTCAGCATGCATGCCTGCTCTGAGCCATGCTGTAGGTAGGCTTGCCACCAGCCCTGCTCCTGGACTGCCCTTGGTGCCCAGGAGGACATACATACCCGCTGGGTCCTGCTGGTCACTGCTGGAATGGTGGATCTCTGCTCCTGAGGAAGGAGCAGCCAGCAGGAGGATGGGCCCGTAGGAGACAATCCTGTTGTAGTCATCTGCCAGTGCCCGCCTGCTCCTCCAGTGCCTGGGGCATTGCTGTCAGCAAAGCCAAAGGAAGGGTGAAGGGAGGGCAGGGGAGGGCACCCTGCACCTGGGCCAACCTGTAGATCTCCCTTTCCCAGGGAAGAGGGAAAGGAGGTCTCTGGTGGGTTCAGGCCCCTGCACCTTTGGTGCTTAGGGCCTCTGATTCTGGAAGTGTTTATTCTGTGAGGCACCCAAAAGCAGAGCAGAGCCCCTTGTCCAAGCAGAGGCAGTGAAGGGAGGTCCCACAGCCACCCAGGGCAGGTGCAGCCCAGCAAGGGAGCTCACCTTGGCACAGGGCTCTGGGCTGTCAGGAACACAGAGCTGCACACGGCAGTGCAGGAACATCTCAGGGTAACCAACAAACTGAAACATCTGGAAGCTGAACTTGGCAGTGGTGCTCTCCCCAATGGCATTCAGATAGGTCACTGTCTCGTCATGGGGACACCTGGGACATGGGGGCTGGATCAGTGGGTGGTAAATGGGGTGGAGCAGGGTTATCCCTGTGAGATAACACATCCCCAAGGGAATGGGTGCAGCCCACAGGCCTATTTCTGTCTAGTCCCTGACACACTGTGTGCAAGGAGACTGGATGTGCTGGGGACACTCTCTCACCCCTGCTCAATGAGCTTGTGCTGTGTGTCCTGGTGTGGATCTGTGCTCGGCGTGGCCCAGCAGTCCAGAACACTCAGCAGGAAGTACTTGAGCTGGTGCTGCCCTTCCATCTTCAGCAGGACATAGAGGGTGTCCGTGAGGGGCACGGCCACACTTGGCAGGTGATAAGGCTCGAGGTAGGAGGGGGATTTGTAGAGTCTCATGCTGACATTGAAGTGTCCTTCTCTGACCACAAGCTGTACCAGCCTGAGAGGGGAGCACAGGATGAGAGCTCACAAACAGAGCAAGGAGGTGGGAAGGACCTTGCACAGGTGAAGCCACCATTGCTCTCAGAGCTCTCTAGGGCTCCCCAGAGCCTTTGCAAATTGTCTCACTGAGTCTACTTCTCTCCAAGCTCATAGACACCATGTGAGCAGCCAGGTGAAGTGGGACACTCACTTGTCAACAGCAGTGAGAGCGAAGGGCAGTCTCACCACCTGCTGGTAGGCGTAGATGCAGGAGAAGTGCACCTCCAGCTGAAAACTGCGGGAGATGGTGGCCCTGGGGGCCTCCTGCTCCGACTCGATGGCGTTGGAGTACGAGACATGGGAGCTGTTTTGCTGGGACAACACAGAAATCAAGGTCATGACTAAAGCCATGCACAGAGCTGCAGGTTCAGAAGGCACAACTCAGCTGTAGCTGTTCCAGGCCTGGGTATCTGCTGGGCTTTCAGCCTGTGCCAGGGGGCTGATGGCACAGCAGTCAGGACAGTGGGCACAGGTCAGCACAGGGCTCTGCTGTGCAATGCAGAGCCTGAGCACCTTGTCTGCTCCCTTCCTGCTCCATGAAGCAAGTCAGGGACCAAGGGGACAGGGCTGCAGAGCTCACAGGATGTCTCCAGAAAGCTGAGGGCTCTTACCAGTGCACAATGAGACTTCCAAGCTCTCCTAAATAAGACAAAATGTGCTGCCAGGAGGGGTTTGGTGGAGGCAGAAGAGCTTTCTGACATCCTTAGGGAAGACTTTCAAGGGGAATGAGAACTTTTCAGCACCCAGATACAAAAGCAAAAGCCTTTGGGGTTGCCCTTTGCTGTCCCACCTCACCACATATGCTCCTCTCCTGGCTTTGGAGCTATGCATCCTCACCTGGATTACTGATCCACAGGCAGTGTGGTTTTCACCTGTGAGAATGGCTGCAAAAAACAGCTCACCCTCTTCTTCCTTCTCTGAGACCTTGCATGCCTGGTTCTTCAAGTGGACAAGCTCCAGTGGGATTTTCAAGAGCTCAAACACCTCCTTCCTCACCATCATCTTCATGTGCTCTTCCTCACAGGCCAGCTTCAGCACCACATCTGGGGGAAAAAGCCATCTGCAATAGCAATGAGGGAGAGGCCTGAAGGAGCCCCAGGCCAGCTGGAAGGTGGCACAGTCCCACTGAGCTCAGCAGCCTCTCGTCCCAGCCTCGGTGCAGGCTGCAGGGCTCTTCAGAGACACTGGGCAGGAGACAGGCTGGTCCCTTTGGAGGGCTGTGCACACAACCCCCACAGTGTGTCTAGGGCACCAGAGGGACAGGGACCCTCTCCTTCAGAGGAAGAAAACAGAGTTTGTGGCCAGTGTCTGGAAGGGGCTTCACTGTATCTGTGCCAGGGTGGATGTGCTTGTTCTGAAACTGTGAGGGAGCTGTGCCCTGCTGCACCATGGCACAGCCAAGCAATTCAGGCATTTGGGGAAGAAGAAAATGCTGGGTTTTCTACCAGCACATAGCCAGGATATGGCTGTAGAGGTGCACAGTACACCTGAAGCAGGAGCTGGGATGTGCTGCAGGGGTGGAGAGCAATGGTAACACCAGTGCCCATCTCCCTTCCCTCTGGTGCCCACAGACAGACTGGGGAGGGCTCACCAGCATTCCCAGCCCTACCTTGGCAGAATTCCCCTGTGAAGCCTGGCTTGCAGCTGCAAACTGGTCTGTCCACAGGCACCTGGCACTGCCCCTGGTGCTGGCACGGGTTGGGCAGGCAGGCATCTGGGCTCCTCTTGACACGGAGGGCAACCCCTGACCTCGGGCCATGGGTGCTGGCCAGCTCACCTGCAGCAAAGGAAAGGCAAGAAAGATGAAATGCAGCAAGAATTTCTCCCTGATGAGAGATTTGAGAACTCACCCCACAGCAGGAAGCTCTGCACAGCTCTCAGGGGCTGAGATCCTCACCTGGAGCCAGAGCAGACACATCTGAGGACGAACCTGCTGCCTCAGCTTGCTGGGAGGCTGTGAGACCTCCTCAGCCTGGCTGTAATCTGGACCAGAGCTAAGGGGCCTGTCACTGTCACCAAGGAGCATGGTGGCACATTGCAGCACCATGGGTTACACACCCTTCGTGCCTGGGGGGGACAGCCTGCAGTTTCTGCCAATTTTGCTGGCTCCTGGAGCCCAGTTCCTGCCTCTCTGAGCCCTGTTCTATTGTTCCTCTTTAGCATTCAGCAGTGTGCTGAAAGAGGAACTTGAACATGGATCAGGTGGAGGTTTGACCTTTCCTTGCCATGCTACCCATCCATGACCCAGCAGGGACAGAGCACAGGGACACTCACTCTTGTTGCCTTCACAGCCAGCCAGGCAGAGCACAGAGAGCAGCAGCAAACATCTCACAATCCTGTCCTGAAAAACAAGCAGGCTCTGGATGACTCGGATTTGTTATCATGCTCACTGGAGATGTTTGCAGTCATTCAGAAAGGCTGAATCCTCAAGCACTGCTGCAATATTTTCTGTGCTGTATTTCCATGAAGCAAAGTAATTTCCCATCCCAAAGGTCCAGATCAGCCTTCCTCCATCAGGTTAACACAAGGGTCAAATACTATCCTGAATTTAGGTAGCTATTCCAGAAAGGAGGTGGAAGAAACCAGCCCTGAGACCCACAGAGATGTGCTGACAGTGATAAAGCCACATTTCAGTGGCAATTTGAGTAAAGCTGCACAGATGGGACATCAGTCTGGGCTCCCCAAAGAGGAAAGAAGTTATCCTCTTCCCACTACAGCTCTTTTGAAGAGTTAGGATTTGCAAGAGGATCCTCACTGTTCCGGTAAATCATAACTATAACAGGGAGACAATGGGATAGTAAAACAAACCCAAAGCTTTGAACACTACTAAAATTAGTGTCAAAAGGACAATCTCTTCTGTTGGTACAGATAATGCATTTCTTTAGGGAAACTATTGGCACAATGCTGGATCAGCCCTGGACACCAGGTACTCCTTATCAGAGATGTGGATGCAAGTCAGCCAGGACTGGTGTCTGGGCAATGCTGAGAGCAGGACAAAGCCAGTGCCAAAATCCCCCTCACACAGCTCACCGACACCCCCCTGCACTGACCCTGAGCAGCTGGACAGGAAGAGTTAATGCCCCATATGCTCCTTGCTCAGCCATCCTGAGAGATCCATCCTGAGAGACCCCACCACCTTGCTCTCCCCCTGCTCACCATGGCCAGGCTGCTCTCTGCTCCTCCACCCATGTTCCTTCCCCTCGGGGTGGCTCGGTGCCTCCCTCTGTGTGCCTTTTATCGCCTCCCGACAGCTCATGGCAAACACGCAGCCTTTGGGATTGCACAAGAGCCCGCTGGGCATCCCTCGGGGCCGGGGAGGAGGAAAGGACTCTCAAAGTCCATCCTCCGTGCCCATGAGCCCACAGCTTGTGGGTGCTGACCCAATTCACAGCCCTGACAGGGGCCCAAACAGGGAGTGTCAGCAAAACCCTCCAGGATCTGGGGTCTGGGCATCCAGCTGGTTTTGTGGAATCTGTTTTTGATGCAGCAATAACAACAGATACCACAGCAGCGCACGCCAAGGCCAGATAACTTTGGGTGCTGAGTACAGGGAGTTTGGAACCACAACATACATTTCCCTTATCTTTTTTCTTTTTTTTAAATTGACTTCTGGCATTTAAGAACTGCTGAGAAGTACTGGTGAGAGATGGAGGATCCTACCCCGCTTTGTTTCATATCCAGATGTGAAACACAACCCCAGTGACTGAATCCAACTCCTGGTCCCTGCACAGGACCACCCCAGCAGTCCCACCCTGTGCCTCTCAGGGCATTGTCCAAATGTTCTTTGAACTCTGGCAAGCTTAGGGGATGCAACCATTTCCCTGGAGAGCCTGTTCCAGTGCCCAACCACTCTTTGGGAGAAGAACCTTTTCCTAATATCCAACCTAAACCCCTGCCCTCAATACAGGTTCATGCCATTTGGGCAGCAGTAACCAGCTGCAAACTGCATTAATCACTCAAAATGATGCTTCTTGATATATTTTGACTGCGGTCTGTTCATCCTCATAGCTTTAATTGCTACAGTCCCCTTAACAGAGTGCCTAATGTGAACATCCATCCATCAATCCATATTTTTTCTTAACCACAACAACAAACCAGAAAAAAAAGTGTTTAGCATCTGACCCTGCTTACAGTCTAATGAACTGCCAATTAAGAATAAAAAGAAAATAAAGGGGAAAAAAGAGGAAAATGAAAATATAAAAAGGAAAAGGAAAAAGAAAAGGAAAAGGAAATGGTCAAGGAGAAGAAAAAGAAGTAGAAAAAGAAAAGAAAAAGAAAAGAAGAACAAGGCGTCTCGCTATCCCTTGGTGCCAGCTTTTGGGTAAGTGCCTCTGCAACAAAGGATCACTGGGGGTGGCTTTAATTTTAAGAGAGCCGAACTCGTGAGTTTCGGAGCGGGTCTCGGAGGGCGACAGCTCAGCCGTGGTGGCGGGCAGGGCCGGCCGCTGTCCCCTGCTTTGCTCCGCTCTGTCCCCTTCTCCCAGCGGGCCCGGGACACGGTGCCGGCGGCCGGGCCGGGACAGGCGCCGGGGCTGGGGCAGCGCAGGGGTCCCGGGGAACCTCCGCGACCGGGGGCTGTGGCAGAAGGTCTGGGAGGGCCCCGGTGACCGCAGGTTCCGTGCCGAGGAGCCGCGGGGCCGTCCCCGAGGAGCCGCGTGCCCGTCTCGAAGAGCCGCGGGCGCCGTCCCCGAGGAGCCCGAGGAGCCGCGGGCCCCGTCCCCGAGGAGCCGCGGGCTCGTCCCCGAGGAGCCGCGGGCCCCGTCCCCGAGGAGCCGCGGGCCCCGTCCCCGAGGAGCCGCGGGCCCCGTCCCCGAGGAGCCGCGGGCGCCGTCCCCGAGGAGCCGCGGGCCCGTCCCCGAGGAGCCGCGGCGCGGGCGTTGCCATGGTGAGCAACGGAGCCGAGCGGGGCCGGAGCGGCCGCTCTGCCCTTGGAGCCGCGGTGAGGGGACGGCCGGGGGCGGTGCGGGGCCCCTGGGCAAGGTCTGCGGCTCCCTGTGTGCCCCGCTCGGGGTCAGCCTGACCGCAGGGACGGCACACAAACGATACGCGGCAGGCGCTGCCCTTGGGGGCTGCCGGCTCCGCGGAGCGGCCTCTCTCTCCAAGGCCCCTGCGGGCCGCGGGCTGGGGCACGGCCGGTGCCCAGCGGGTTGATGGAGCTGCTGCTCCGCCAGCAGCACCCCGGGCAGGAGGGAGGACACGGGGGATGCGGTCTGAATGTGGGGATGTGCTCTGCCCTATGGAGCCAGGCTCTGCCTGCTCTGCACGCTTAGGGTGTCCACGAACACTGGACAGTTTGTCCCAGCCCAAACTCAGTGCTCTCCCTTTCTGGCTGCCTCAGCCATGTTCGTGTACCAAAGCACTGCGGCCACAATGGGAGTGTTTCTCTGTTCCTGTGTATCTGGGCCCCAACCCTGAATTCACCCTGGTGTGTGCATTCCTGTAGTGCCCGGCAGAATGGAGGCCTTGGAGGAGAAGGAGGAAGTGGAGCAAACACCAGAGGATGTGATCTCTTTGAATATCAGTGATTACCTCGATGAGCTGGAACTAGATGCGGAGGAAGCCTCTGTCATAAGCAATGAATCGTAAGTCTCTGCCCATGGCTGGGATGAGCAGAGACGTTCTCTTTGGGCCCCACAGGGTGATTGCACGTGTGTGGATGGCACATGTGGTCCCCCTTGCATGGTGATGGGAGTGAGCATGTTTCTTGTGCCTGATGAGTTTGTCCAAGATTGTGGGTGTGCAAGTAAGACAAGGTAACTCATTTGGTTGTACATCCATTCACCACCGTATAAAGATCCCCCAAGACTCTGGGTATATGTCAGTTTCCCATTGCTCCAGAGATGTTTGGCTATGTCAAAATCATATCCTTGGATATGGCCCCCATTTTGTACCTGTGAAACAGGGAAGCCCTGCCATGTTTTGATATCAGATCATCCTGCCTGTATTGCTCCTGGCTTATTACTTGTGTCTCTCTGCCTCCCCCTTCTACATAAGTGATTTTGACTGGAGCTCCATTGACACATCCAACTTACCATCTTCGTACAAGACAAATTCCCGGCAGGAGAAGAAGCTGCTGCAGCTCGCTGACAATTTCTTGCAGCAGTACTCTCACCTGTGCCCTGACCGCAAGCCGCTCTTCATCCACCCGCTCAACGAGTGTGGTGTGCAGGTATGGGGTGGCTGGGGTTGGGCACAGCACAGGGAATATCTGGATTCCACTGTGCCAAATGCTGTGGAAGAGCAGCAGCCCCTCCTGGCTAAAGGGAATGGGAACCTGCTGGCTGAACCCACAGCCCCTGAGCGAGCATACAGGGCCCCAGGAACACCATGGCTGTCCAAATCCATGAGCCATATAAATGTTGGTGTTGCCATGTGGGCTGCAGTGTGATGCTTAGGAAACAGGAGAGACCACAGAAACATAAAGGGAAGGAAAAGAAATACATGAACTAGATAAGGCTCAGGCTCAGCCACAGATAGGGATCCAGAGTAAGGACTTACTCTGAACTTCTCTGAAGTTACAGGGAAGGAGTAAATGTGGAAGTTTTTGGTCTGGTTTTGTTTTCTCTGGGCCCAAGCTGCACAACTGTTGTCTAGTTCTGGACCTGATGTTTCCCCCCTTCCCCCTGGGCACCTGGAATTGCTAGTTTGTACTAGCTTTCCCCAAAATTTGTTGTATCATTAACATGCAAGGCAAAAAAGAATGCTGGAGGATGTAAAAGCCAGAAAAGGCAGTAGTTATTTGAGTTGCTTGAAAATGAAGAGAAGAACTGGCTCCCCTCTGGAATGTGTCTGAGATGAGGTTGAAGTTTCAGCCACAGGCAAGCAGACGGCCTCTCAGCCCCATGAAATTTCCATCCTGGAACTGGAGAGAAGGGATATTGATGCTGTTGATATGCTGTAGAAAGATCCTGAATTTGATCTGCAACATCCAGGGGTGGTCTGAGGATGGCTTTGGAGAGGACACTCTGCCAAGGCCCTGTTGGCTAACCAAACTCCTCTTGTTGCCCTACAGAAGTTTGTGAGCACAACAGTGAGGCCAACCCTGCTGCCTTACCCAGACATGTACTACTGGTCAGGCTGTGCCAGCTTTGTCAGTGACTACCTCATCATGGAGCCCCTCAAGTGCCCAGTCACACCGGTAAGAAAGGGGCTGCAGCCCCAGCAGAGACACAACAGAGGTGACAGAAGGGCCTTTCAGCAGCACACGGTGGGCAGGTCCCAGTGGCTGGGATCACAAAGGTCTCTGACACTTCCACCATCCCCTCACTATTTAGGCAGCCCCCTGATCTTCCTAGACCCAGTGAATTCTGTTGGACCCACGGTCCCAGTGCATGTGCAGTGTGATACCTTTTAAGTAATTAAGCACCATTTCTTCAAGACCAGACCCTGCCTTCAGCCAGCCCAGATGAACAGTTGGAGCACAGTGGGAGGCAATGGCTGACAAGCCTCCCCTCTGAAAACCAAGACACTTTGGAACAGAGGAGCACATAAACCCTAGGGGATGATACTTAATCTCAGTGACCTGTTCTTAGGCACTTTTTGACTTTTATATTCCCATATCTGGGTATATTTTGGGATGAAGGGAGATTTCTAGGTTAGCAAAAAAGGGATGATGCCAGAGCTGGGACAAGTTCTTGATGAGAATCAGCTAAGAGAACACACTCCTTGCTAGCAAGGACTGCAGAGTGACCTAAACAATCTACACCAGGCACAGGCTGTCCCAAGAGCCCCAGGGTCTCAAAAGGAGCTCTGGCACTTCTTGACTACACAGAAGGTATCTCCATTTAGCAGGTGGAGACTGCCTTGATCACTTTAGGTGTTGTCTGAGAACTGAGTGGGATTAGAATCTCTCTGTATGCAGTATGTGTGTAGTGATACTTTTTATTGCTCACCAGTGAGGGCCGGAAAGAAATATGTTTCCTCCTGTGAACTATAATTTAGCTTATGGGTGTTTTCCTTGGAAGACCTGCAGACAGAACAGCAGGAGAGAGAGGGAAATCCCATTCCAGGATTAGCATTAGGTTTTCAGCAGTTTGATGAGTTTGTCATTTCCTTCCCTTCCTGTGGTTAAATTTGTCACCAGATTTGAGGTCAGAGTTTCCCCAGATCATTTTGAAGGGGAGTTTTAGAGTCAGTGGCTTTTAAAGAAATGTTACATAACAGATTCCCATAGGGTGCAGGGCCCAGGGATGTGGGGAATGCCTCTCTCTGCCTGGTGCACGTTTCAGCTCCACAAGACAAGCACTGTGAATGTCATCTCTCTCTTTCAAGCCCAGCTCACTCTATTCCCCAACCACCATTGTGAAGTACCAGCGAGGGAACTGCTTTGACTTCAGCGTGCTGCTGTGCTCCCTGCTGGTGGGGGCTGGCTACGATGCCTACTGTGTACATGGATATGCCACCCTCGAGATGTGCTCCCTGGACCAGACTCAGGAGGTGTGCCCACGGCTCAGGAAGCCCCCAGAGGTGAGATCTGCAGGCAGTGGGCAGAGAGGAGTCCAGCACACACTCTCAGCCTGTTCATGTCCAGTGAGCTCCAGAGCTGAGCTAGGGGGAACAGCTTCAGGTCCACACTGGGTTTCAGTCTGTGCCCACCAAAGGAATCTTTTGAGTGATTTTCTACAGCTCCTTACAAGGCCTTTTTGGCTTCACTGAATTTCTGCTCACCAGGTGCAATATGCAAACTGCCAAATGTTGGGAACTGGGGGTTACCTGTAAGCCATACATTACTTACTTCTCTTGATCTCTGCTGGGTTTCACAGTAATTTCCTGCTTTTGCAGGTACCAGTAAAGGAGGATCCCAACAAGTATAGAATTAAGTACCCTTTAGAGCCAAAGAGCCAGTTTGAGCTTCAGCAGAAGGCCAAGGAGGAGGAAGAAGCTAAATCCACACAAGAGGAGGAAAAAGAAGAGGAGGTGGTTGAGGTGAGTTAGCAAGGTCCACCTTCCTGTGAGCTTCAGGAAAAGTAGCTGAGACAGAGGTAATGGCTGGCCAAAGAGAAGAGCTCACACCCTCCTGAAGCATGACACAACCTTGATCATGGCCATGAGCACTTGGCCTCCAGGAGCACAGTGTGGGCTAGCACAGGAACATGTGCTGACTATGTACCTCACTCTTAAAGAGCATTAAGAGCCTGGAGTTCTTTAGAAGTGGACAGAGGAAAGGACAAGATGGCCTTTGGGTTGGAGTAAAGTGTCAGTGAAATGGCAATAATTATTGCTCTATCCTCTGTGCTACAGGAGGTGGAAAAGCCCAAGCGAGACCCTTTGCATGGCTTACGGGTGCACGCCTGGGTTCTGGTTCTGTCTGGGAAGAGGAAGGTTCCCGAGACCTTCTTCATCAACCCCTTCACAGGAAACAACCACAGCACCAAGGATGAGTGCTTCCTTGGGATTGAGAGCATCTGGAACGACAAGAACTACTGGGTGAACATGCAGGACTGCCGCAAAGGCTGCAAGGTAGGGAGCCCTTAGCACCCTGCCTGGGCACTGAGGGACAGCTGGGCTCACCTGAGTCCTGAGGAAGTCCAAGAGCAGGAGTGCTCCAGTTTCCACTTAACCATTCCTTGTGTTGGTTTTGGTCATGTTGCTCTGATTACACAGACTATGGAACTACTCCAGGGCATCCCAGACTCTGAGCTGGTAAATACAGATCACATTTATTAAATCCCTACAGTGCAAAAGTTTCAGCTTTTAAGGCTGCCTAGGCACTCCTTCTCTCAAACAGCAGCTTTTGAAGCAGAGGATGTTTTGGGTCTGTCAGGCATAGCTCAAGGAAGGTAAAACCTTGATTCAGCTCTTACCACACCTCAGCTACCCCCCAGCAGACACAGAGTCTGGGAGGTGAGGGTCTGAATTAGATCAGCTTGCCTTGGGGCCATACTTGCCCAGAGGAAGGAGGCAGAAGCATTTCCAGCCATTTCCTCTCATCTGAGGAAGAGGCACCACGAGGAAGGGGTTCTGCAGCCTCAAGGCACAGGGACGGACAGTCTTTGGGGTCCCACCAGCCAGACAAGGATTTGAGGAGCTCAACTCCATAGAGTTCCTAAAGTCTCTGGCACCCAGGCAGGTCCAGAGCACCACAGACATATTGATGCAGTGGTCAAATTTAGTGTCAGGCCCTTGACAATGCCCTGTAGTTTAAAGAGTTTTTTCTATATGCCCTAGGATCTCAGCTTTGACTTGAGTAATCGTTTCTGCTGGGAAATTATGTTTCCAGAGAGCGACGAGGCCTCTCAGTTGCCCACAGAGTCACCCAAGAACAGCACAGATGAAATGGTGAGTGACCCAAGCAATGCTCTTGAGCACTGGGGACCCTGTGTGGAACCAGTGTGTCCATAGT